CTCGCCTGCCTCGCGGGCGCGCCGCCCGGGACCCCGCGGGGGCTCGCCGCCGGCAGGAGCACCTCCCGCCGCGTGAGGCAAGCGGCTAGTCCTCACGGTTGCCCCCGCCGCCGCCGGTGCCCCTTGGCGCGGGGCGCGGCGAAAGAGGAGCGCTGCTGGATCAGGCGAGGGACGGCCCGCCTCGTCCCGCGCTCTGGGCGCACGAGGCACAGAGCCTCTGATAAGGGGAAGCCACGCATTCGTTCAAGCTTTCTGTCCCCCCCCCCCCCCTTCACAGTGTTTCAGGGCGGGAACGCGCGCATCCGAGGGGACCAGCAACCGCGGAGAGGTTCCTCCGGGGAAGCACCATGCCGGACCGGGCGGCGGCCTTCTGGCCCAGCATTCGGGCTCACACCGCGGCAGGCTTGCAGCCTTTGATAGCCTTCCCTCCACGAATTTGGCCAGTCCCCTTACAATCTGGTGGCCGTTCCTACTTCTTGTGGCAATGGATTCCATAGTCGACCCTGTGCCATGTGGAGAAAGATACCCTGCGTGCAGGATCCTGGGGGCACGTTGTTGGCCATTGTACCTCCCAGAGTACTACAGTACGTAAAAGCAATGCAATAAAACACCATAGCATCTCATCGGACGAAATGCAAACTGTTAAGAAACGGCTAAAAAATACGTTGATGAATGACCCTGCAAAGGAAAAGGGCTTTGATGTAAACAGCAATGTGGGGAATGGAAGCAGAGTGGGAGGAAAGGGCCCTGGGCATGATGGGGCTCCTCCTTTCCTGCCAGCTTGTCCTGGATTTCCTGGTGCAGAACCATGTCCTGAAGTTCCTTCCAGGAATGACTAGCATGAATAGCCACCTGCTGACTTAGTTTTGCTTGGCAGGGAGGGATTGTCAAAAATCCCTCCCTGGAACATCTCAGGAGAGCTTGGGGGCTCTCAGTTATTCATGAAGGGATTGTTGTGGTTGTTAAGGCTTAGCATTTCTATACTAGCTTTAGTACTATATGTATTGGGTGTTCAAACAGTTTTAAATACATATATTGAACTCACAACCCTGTAAGGTAGACCAGTATTCCTTATATTACAGCTGGAGGCTGATATTTATGTAGGATGGGAGTGGGCCACTTGAGGGCCTTCCACATGTTGGACCGAACACCATGGGACTCAATATGCGCAGGATGCTGCTGTAAGTTTTATATAGTGACTGTATTTAGGTAGGAACAATTTATGCCACAGTCTTGTAACACTTATCCCAGCAGTAAATCCTCTTATACTTAGCAGGAATTGCTCAAATTGGCCTTGGTCTCCCTCTGAGATTGTCCTTGTCCTCGGATTACCGCAGCCATAACTGGAAAGAGCAGAAGCGCGCCACGGAGCCCCGTGGGGCCGCTTTCTAGCCCGGAACGCTCGCGGCAGGGCGTGCGAGCAGGGAGGAGACCAAGCGCGGGAGGACCGCGGTGCCCCGCCGGAAGTGTCCCCCCTTGGGACGGCGAGCGGTAGGACGCTGCGGTCCCTTCAACGGTTCTTCGAGCTCAGGAGGAGCGGCCAAGGCATGTTCGCCCGGGTGGCCTCGAGCCTGCTTCGCAGCGGCGCAGGGGCAGCTTCGCTGAGGTAGGTGGCCGAGAAAGAGAAGGCAGACTTTGGTTCTCCTCCTCGATTCCTCTGTGCCCCGATGAGAAGAGGCATGCTTGTATTTCTTTATGTAGATCGTGCAGCTGGGTTCAGGGACGTCCTCTTTGGGACTGGACCAAGAGTCCATCGAGTCCAGCTTCCTGTTTTCAACAATATCTAGAGAGTAATCGTCGTTATCTATAACAAGCACAATGAAGTTAAATGTAGATTTACTGCCTTCTGCGCATTCATAGACTGCTGTCTGTTGTTCAGACATGATCCTTGGTTTTGAATGGGGGTCTAGCAAGCAGGCAGGACACGAAAGCAATGGCCACGCTGGACAGTTTACCACTCAGTACGGTGAACTGCTCCTAAACATGGAAGTGCAGCTTTTGGGGTTTGCTGTCAGAATCAAAGCTACAAGAGAAACATTTTAAAATGCCAGTTTGCCCTAATTCATTGCCACATCCTTGGCAGCAAGCGAAGGCTATGCAAGATTTTCTGCCTGCTTCTGCCCCAGCTCATCCAGTTTGATACAATTTAACATTCTAATTTGTAGGCCTCAGCTGAAAACTATTCTGCTACCATTCAGGTTGCTATGAAGTTGCACTCACTTGGGACAAGGAAACATGGCAAGGAACCCCACTACTTGCATATGTGGAAAGTTTCTTAGAATAAGTTTATGATGGTAATGAACCTCTGTACATGAGAATTATCTATTCTAAACTGACATAGGAGAAATGTTCTTATTGGTCATCCTTTTTCATTCAGGTTTGATCCATCTAATACTTTTTATTTATTAAGATTTGACTAATCTAATACTTTTTATTCTTCATTAGTCCTAAATTAATCTGGAATGTTCAATGTCGAACAAGCCACTGGCAGTCTTCACTTCTTGGACTGAGAGCATCTATACCTATGAGGTAAAATATAGTCTTTAGTGGTATTTTTAGAAAGGCTTTAGACCATTTCTTTGCATGTGTTAAATTAGAGGAGGAAATTATGCTTTATGTATGTATGCTTTATGTATTCATTCTGTTTTTATCTTAACTTTCCTCCACATCTTCTCCCCAAATTCCATTTTATCCTTGTAGCATTGAAGAGAGAGTGAGTGGTCCAAGATTACGCAGTAAGCTTTGTTGCTGACTTGATGCTATAGCATGGATGTTTTACACTACAAGGTAGAATAGATTATCAGAAACTAAAATATGTATCAAGAACTTTCTGCTTTGTCTTCCATTAGAGCAGAACCGAAGAAGAAAAAGAAGGTGGACCCCAAGAGAGACCTAATTATAAAGGAGCGACTGAAGAAGAAGATTAAAAAATTGGAAAAAGCTCCTCAGGAATTGATTCCCATTGAAGATTTTATGACACCATTCAAATTCTTAGATGAAAAACGGTAATGGCAGTGATTCTTGTGATTTCTTAGAAACTTATGATATTTTTATTATCCAAGGGTACCACCCTTAGGTCTCCAAGCTCCAAGGCTCATAAGAGTGAGTGCCCACTTGTGGTATAAACTTGTGAGTGTGGTATAAACAAGTTTTTAGAGATAGTCAATGCCCTAAAGCAGAGATGCAAAACCAAATCCAGCTCTTTTTAGTTGTTTCCAGGAAGGCCGAAAGGCCTTTTGTAAGGCTTAATTACTTGCAGTAAGATCTTTAAGCTAAAATATGCTAGTATCTTCAACACCACATCTCTGAAATGCAGCCCCCAAATTTCCAAAACAGAATTTGGAAGATGAAAGAGATTCAACACCACTGCTGTAAAATTAACATGGCTCAACTAAACCTTGACTGACATAACTGAGGTACTGTTACTGTTCAGCACTGTTAAAAGAAATCTTCTGTAATAAAGTCTAAAACCAGAGCTCTGAAGTGTGAAAGAAATATTTGCAAACACCCTGCTGATGCTTCATTCCCCCTTTTCCAAAGACTCACTAGTTTACTTTGGACCAGTATGTATTTGCACCCCTTGTGCTTTCAACCTGGAGACAGGTATTCAAAAGCTAGCTCGCTTTCGTTTGCCTCTTGTTCCATAGCTCTGTCTTGTTTTTTCCTCTTAGGGTACGAGCCTCCTCACCATTGTCTTTTGAGGAAAGTGAGAGGAGAGCTTTGCTTAAGAAGACGTGGTCTGTATACAAGCTAAAGCAGAACAGGGCAGAAATGAGGGCAATCAAGTCCCTCATGGATGCTCAGGAAGCAGCACTAAAAGAACTGCGGCATGAATCGGAGGAACTATACCAAGCAGCAATTCAGCGAGACAACAGTTTGTTCCCTTTTGAGAGGCAGGAGCCTACAGTCACACCACCACTGCCTGGTTATGAGGCTCCTGACGGGAAGTGTATCGATGTCACAAAAACATATACCCAGTGATCTGAGAGACTGCTGGGAGATGTTGCATCCATTAAAGCATTCTTGTTTTACAAATCGTTGAAACATACAGGAAAGATTCCAAGAGCAGACCAATCTGGAGGTGGTGATTTCTTTAGAATGTAATAGATTCTAGAAACCTGCTGTCCTATTTGGACAAAGAACGTGGTATAAGCAGATTTTCTAATTCATATGCCTATGTGGGATACTATCGTTTTGTAGGGAGTTTGTAGTTTTCTACAGAACTAATGAATCACTGCAAGAACTTGTCCTCCCTGACTGGCAGGACAGGAATTTTAGAAAAAAATAAAACATGCAGGATAAAATCAGTAAATTTGGGGACAGTGAGAACAGATTTTTGGGGAGACTGGGTAATTATCTTTGAGTGCATTTACTATATCGCATCCACCCATCTTTAAACTAAAATTCTTTGTCTCTGTTAGCTGTAATCTGGATTTTTTGAAGACTGCACCTAAGCCGTTATTTTTAACCTGGAAAGAATGGTTTCTAAGAACATGGCTGTTCAATTTGAAGTGTCAAATTAATGCATTTTTCTGCATGTAGGGACAGATACAATAAAATGCATATTGATCACCTTGCCGTTTTGGTTGTAGATAAACTTGCCAGGTGTTGTAGCTTGCCTATTGCAGAAGAGTGTGCAGAATTCTGAGAAAGGCCATATTAAACCTCTGACAGGTCTCAAGCATATACAGAAGACAAATAATAGAAGGCCTGTAGTGGTGTCCTGTTTTTATTAGACCACCCAAACTGTGCATTTTTAAGCATATCTCTTTAGAAGGCAAGATGATATTTAAAAAAAACAAACACACGATTGGGGGTGGAATAAAACTGGGAAAAATCCTGAATTGATAGTGGGGTTACATTGTTTGCAAGTTCGGCGTCCCAAGCTGGAATGGGGGAAGAAGGGTCTTGCAAACTTTCAAATCTCTTCACGGATGGCTACAGGAAGGACCTGCTGCTAGGACAAAGAAAGGAAAAATGTTGGATATTTTATTTGGGGGGATAAAAAGGTAATGGGGCTCTCAGAATTATTTTCCATCTTGAACAAAGCACACAGACTCCTTTTAACAGTGGACCACCGAAATAGTCTTTCTGTTTGCAAGAGGCCTTCAAGCCGGCCACTGGGCATAAATAGCTGTGCATATTCTGCTCCCCAGTCGCTCTATAAGCAACAATTTGGGCCGAATGTGTGCATCTGGGAGGTACTATCAGATCTGCCTTTCTCATGGAAACTACAAATAGGAAGCATCCTCATAAAGACCTTCAGGTGTTTTCCCTTCCCAAATGGGGGTATCATTTCAAAACGGTATAGTCAAACAAATGGAAACTCGAGGAGATTCCACAGATCTTTTGGCCTGCATTTTTCAGACTGTACGCATGCCCTTTCTTTAGTGCAACAGACTTTAAAATTCCCTCCACTTACTTTGAGTAATACCTGAGTTGAATTTTAGGCCTGTGTGCCAAATCGTACTTCCCCAGTATGTCCCGGGTTTTGTGCAGCTTTGCCCCCATTCTAAATGGCTGGCACACCTAAGACTTAATTGCTGGCAGTAAGGCGTAATATGTGGGTGTTTTCGGGGGTTAAGCTCTGAGCTCCCTGCCGTCAGTTGACCTGAATCTGGCCCAGCTGGAGACGAACATTACAGGCTTTGAGGAGTGTTTGGTAAGTCTTGCAGTTGGCATTGCAGGTGGAGCTACAAAGGAGGAAGAGGCAAGCACCTTGAACATCTCACCAAAGGAAAGAAAGGATTCAGAACAGATACTTTAAAATGAACATACATTTGACACAACTGAAATGAGGCGCACACATGCAGAGGTGGCTGGTGACTCTCCCACACCACACGGGCTCAGAAGTCCCCTAGAGACATCGCAGACCTGGCATCCCACTGCTTCATCACTTTGGTTTCTCTTCATTAAGAGGCAGGTGCCAGTCAAGGGGAGGCTTTTTCCTGAATTCCCACACAGGCGCGTGCTTCTGCTTTTCTTCAACTCGCTTTCGTTCACTGCTGCACAAGGAATCCTGGAAAAGACCCAGTTTACTGATAAAAGTGAGCCATTTTTTCATTCAAGTTTAGCCATGTTTCCAAGAAAAATTACCTGAAGGAGCGCTTACGTCCATATATGCCCAGCCGCCCCCTGAGATCGGCGGGAGAGGCCCTTCTCCGGGAACCCTCCGTGGAAGAAGTTAGGAGGGTGGTTACTCGGAGGAGGGCTTTCTCTGCGGTGGCGCCTAAGTTATGGAACGCGCTCCCCAGAGAGGTCCGCCTGGCGCCATCATTATTTGCTTTTCGGTGCCAGGTGAAGACCTTTTTATTTAAGCAGCATTTTCAATGTTAATATTATTGAATTTTATCTGGCCAGGGCGGCTTATTTTATTCTACTGTATATATTTTAATTGTTATTGTTTGAATTTATTGTGTATTTTATTAGATGTTGTGAGCCGCCCCGAGGCTTCGGCAAGGGGCGGCATAGAAATGTTTTAATAAATAATAAATAGAGATAAATAAAAAATGAAAAGTTTTCTGCAGCACGTGGACGCCATATTATTCACTTTGAAATATAATCAGCATACAACAATTTAGTAATAAATAGAGAATTGCCTTCAACCAGCTGCCCACATTTCGGGGAAGAAAAGAAGCCTTAACTGTATAAACTAGAGAGGAGGGGAGGGTTAGATAAACCTGGACTGCATCTTGTCCGTAACAGCAAATAGAGACTGCCATATCAAGTAACGTAGACTTCATTTCTCCCCAACAATTCCACTTCCCGATCGTGAGTTGGAGCTAATTATTCCTTATTTTGCTGCTCAGCATACCTTAGCTGCTGCATTTCTCGTTTTTTCCCACTCCCTGCAATCCTGGTAGTCTCTCTTCCACTGTGCACAAGAAGGTGCCTTCCCATAGGTATAATAATTATGGAAGACGTTCTGGATGCTCCTGCAGTGCTTCCATTCGGCCCAGTAATCCTCACACACCCGTGGAGGCTGCCAAACACAAAATCCAGATAGCAGATCTTACCACTTGGCCCGAGAAGGAACAAGTACGGCCTGCAACAAAGTGGTACAGTGAGGAACACGATGGGAAGATTCTGGCCAGCCAAGGCCGGTTCCTATACTATTCCATTACTTCCTCTTTTCCTTCCAGGTTTTCCATGTTTCCCCTCTCAAATTCAGTGGTCACTGAGTACACTTATTACCGTGTTTCCCTGAAAATAAGACCAGGTCTTACATTAATTTTTGCTCCAAAAGACACACTAGGATTTATTTTCTGGTGATGTCTTATTTTTTTCATGTACAACAATCTACATTTATTCATGTACAAAAATCTACATTTATTCAAATACAGTCATGCCATCTCCTTCTGGAACATAGTCCAGAAGAATGGACAAACCCTACAAACCCTGAACTGTGTTGCAACGGACGTACTAAATGCGTCCATCTGGCTGACAATCTTAACTGGGGCTTATTTTTGGGATAGGGCTTATATTACGAGCATCCTGAAAAATCATGCTAGGGCTTATTTTCAGGAAAACAGGGTAGTCACTGGGCTATTTTGGGCTTTCCCCTAAGTGGAGGGGAGTACCAGGTTCCCTCATAAGCTCAACTATTCTACTCTTTTTGGGCACCATTCTGGCTACGTAAGAAATCAGAATCCAATAGTGAGTTTGCTAGAATATAGGTCATGAGAATGCCTATTTAGTTTCAGGCATGGCTCTGCCCAGAACATTTTTGGTGTATTGATTTCTCTCTAAGCCTAAGGCTGGCTAAAATGTCTCGGGGAACCTTTAAGTTGCACTCAGGAGTCTCTTAGCTTGGACTGCGCATGATTACTAATTAATTCCCTGCCAGCAACACTTCATGGTTTGAAATTGATTTCCACTCTGCGCATCGTCTTTCTTCACAGGAGCCCTATGGTAAGTGGCTTTCAGGCAGCTGGCAGGTCGATTTATTTCGGGGCACCGTTTTCATTTGCTTCAATTGATTTAAACTGCTTTTGAGGTATATGAAACTTGGAATAGAAATATTAACCATGGAAACTGATGAATGCTGGGAGCTGAGGATCCCCCCACCCCAACCATGCATAGGGCTGTCTCCTATGCAAACAAAAACTAGTGTTTATTTAAGGGGACAAGACCAAAGCAAAACAAGCATTCTGATAAATGATTTAAAGCAACCCCCTAAGGCAAACAGCCCAAGGGGGCATATGCTGATGTCCACATGCTATGAAGCCTGTGTTTGTGCTTATAGGACCTGACTCCTGGGGACACCCGTATTTGTAAATATGAATGAATGGACACCAGAGAGGAAGGCGTTTGATTCCAGGGGAAAACTCAAACGGAAAGGCTGGGGGGCAGCAGGAGGTGAAGTGCCAAAAGTCAGCTCGTCCAGGGCCTCGATGCAAGAGAGATCCGCAGCCCCTGAACCTTTCCTTCAGCAAGTGCCTATGGACAGCAGGGCGGTGGGGCAGCGGGCTTCTCAGAAATTCGGGTCTCCCAGGGAGACATCAGGGACTCCCGGTCCTAGCGGGTCACTCTGTAACCCTCTCGGTCCCTGGCTGGAGGGAGCGGCCACAGGTTAAGTCTGGTGTCCGTCCTGAATTTCCCACCCATTGGACAACCCACGATTCTAGTCCTCAGTGATCATCTTCACCACCACCACTCCCCGCCTCCCGCAATCAAAGCAGGACGTGCAAAAGCCCCTCTTACCCTCCAGGTCTCCCTGTCGGCCATGTCGCTTCCCCCGCCCGCCTCTCGCCGGCAGCGGGCCCAAGCCGACCCTCCAAGGCGGAGCTTTGGGACGATGTCGCCGCGGACCGTCCCGCGAGAGGCTGCGCAACGCGCCGCGCCGGGCGGTTACAGGGCCTAAGAGCAAAGGGGCGCCACCCTTCCCGTTCCTCACCGCCACTTCCGGCTCTCGGTTAGCATGCGGGGTTGAGAGTGGCAAGAATGCGTACGGAACTCGCAGGCAGAAACAAGAAGCGCTCCCACGCTCGGGTCGGATAGCGCCTTTTTCCGTGCTTTGAAAGAATCGTGCCTGTAGAAAATAGAAGGGTGCAAGATAGGTGCTTTGTAGGCTTGCAGCCATTCCTCATTTAAGGAAGGTCCCGCCTGTGCTTTCCGCATTTCAATGCCTTTTGAAACTCTGGTTGTAAATCGGGGCGACGCCAGAGGTCGGAGAGATCCGGGACTGCGCCCCACAAACAAAGTGCAGTTTTTGACGAGGCTAATTTACCCTATTTGTAAAAAAGGGGCGTATGGAGAGGGCAGAAGGGGCAGCTGATTGCAGGAAAAAACTTGTTCAGAAAGGTTCAAGGAGCGGTGGCAGGAGGGGAAGCGCCTGCGGGCAAAAACAAAAGCTAATCGGGAGGGCAGGGGCACCGGAGACCTTCTGAGCCTGTCTTTCCGCTAGTGCCCCGGGGTGGTGGGGCAGGTGGTCTTCCACGAGTCGGGGCTCCAGACGTAGCCAACCACCCCCTTCCCCGGCAAACATTTCATGCACCTGAGGAAATGGGCTGCAGTCCTCCGAAGCCGCTTTGCTGATGCTTTCTGCGCGGGTTGGTTCTGCTTCCCGCAGCACCTCTGCCGTTTTCCCCTTGTTGCCTCTTTGCAACCGCTTCCCATTCTAACACGCTTCCCAAAAAACCACATTTTCAGACTTCCGGGTTACGGCGCGGAGGGATCGGCGGCGAAAACGCGATTTGCGTCTTTCGCACCGAAATCCGTTCGCCGGGGGCTCGGGGGAGCCCGGTCCGCTGCCCTGGAAGAGCGGCGGGGGAGCACGGATTGCCCCTGGTGTGTTTGGGGGCGGCGACCCCTTACCCGCCAGGGAGAGCCGTCCTTTTCGGTGAGCGGGGGGGCTAACCCACCCTGGCTGTCGGTCCCGGTTAATCAGCGAACAGAAAAGCTTCTAACTGGACCTCGGATCTGCTGGGTGAGACAACTTCCATTGTTCATAACTGAGCCCTTAAAAGAAACTCCTGGAACGAGCATTAATTTAGATTAAAAAGCCCTCCTTCAACGGAGGAGGAGAACCCCCCCCCCCCCAGACTTTAAGCAGCGACAGAACTGGGCTGATTGATAGAGAAAGCTCAACATTCCAAGAGCTGGGAAAAAATAACTCCTTTTTAATCTCCCCAAGGGCGAAGGATTAGATTTTGCAACCTACTGTAAATCAATCTGAAGAAAAATCCGTTTTTTCTGTTTGTTTACATTCCTTTCTCTGGTCTTCATGGCGATCTGACCATTTCCAGGCATCCTGCATGAGAATTGAAGGTACTGGATGTTTCAATAAATAGTCCTTTGCTGCTCCCCTGTGGTTAACTTGCGTCACAACAGATTCTTTAAATAAAACTCTAACATTAACTCTCATTCTCTGGAGAGTACAGTTAGGGTTGGACGTATCACTTCCTTATCTGCTAAAACAATCAGTAGGGGTGTAAATCTAAACTTTCTTTAATAATAATGAGACGTCCATATCAACCAAAACCATCGGACCCGATGATTCAGCAGGAAAAATCCCAGGAGGAGATTCAGATAACACTTCTAACAATTCAAGAGCCTATTGAACAACTGGCATCCCAAGAAAAGAAATGGGAGAAGAGGATCTCAGACCAAATTGAAAGATTCAAAAAGCTGGATAGGCATACTGAGACTATAAATGCTAAATTTTCAGATATTCAACTGAAAACAGAGCAGAATGAGCAAAAAATAAAGAGGTGGAAGATAAGACTGACAATATTGATAAGAAAATCGAAGTGATAAGTATGGAAATACAACAGTTAACCCAAATAAATAAGACACTACAGGACTCAGTGGCTACATTGCAGATGGACAAGGCATCTAACTACTTGAGATTACAGAATGTACCAGAGAGAAAAAATGAAGACTTAAAAAACCTAATAAATACAATGCTAGCTGATGCTCTTGGTGTTGAAAAGGAAGAGATTAACAAATAAATTGATCTGGTCTATAGAGTAAACTCGAGTTATGTGAGAAGACATAGACTTCCGAGAGAAGTTCATATCAAATTTATGAAAAGGTCTATAAGAGATGAAATTCTCAAAACTTTACATGACCGGCCATTAAAATATGGTCAAAATGATATAGTCGCTTTGAAGCAAATACCTGGAGAATTAGAGAAGGACGGAAGAAATATCACTTCCTTATCTCAAAGTTGATGGCGAAAGGAATCATGTTTAGATGGCTGATATCAGAAGGGATACTCTTTAACTGGAACTCCAGAAGATTTAGACTAGACTCAATCTTTAAGGCACAAGAGTTTTACGAAAGCTTTAGAAGCATATTTGAAGATGAAAAACAGATTGAAGAAAAGGCGAAAAGGTGAGGCGGCTGCTGCAATAACCCACCTTCCAGAAGAAGAAGAAACAGCATCCTCAGACCGAGGAGATGAACAGTTATCAGAATAAAGAGAAAAGCTAGAAATGTGAAACCTTTCTCTTAGAAATGAAAATGGAAGATGAACAAGTTAAGGAAACTGATATCATGGGCACAAAACTTTGGATATAATATTGAATTGCAGAAATGGCAAAAGCTGTGGGAAAGAAATATTAGGATAACCTTGGCAACCTCATATAAAGAAAATTTGTATAAAATGTTTTACAGATGGTATTTGTCACCGAATAGATTAGCTAAAATGTCTTCAAATATGTCAAATAGATGTTGGAAATGTAAACAAAGGCCTGGTACCTTTTACCGTATGTGGTGGACTTGTGATAAAGCAAAAAAATACTGGGTTAAAATACATAGATGGCTTGGGGAAACTTTGCAAAGACCTGTAATATTTAAACCAGAAATATTTTTGCTAGGCATTCTCCCCAACGACTTCGATAAACAAAGTTAATGTTTGACTTCGCAGGGAATCACAGTGGTGAGGGTTGTATTTGCACAATACTGGAGGACTGAAGAGTTACCGACTGAAGAGTTGATTTTAAAGAAGATATTAGACTGTGCGAAAATGGACAGACTGACTTTATCTCTTAAGGAAAAAAAAGAGACATGCGACTGTTAAACATGGGGCTTTTTATTATTAGTTAGAGAAATGGAATCTCAGTTAGGGCTGAAATATATAGTAACTCTAGAGAGAATAAGATTTTGAGCTTGGTATGTCTGAAGTCTTTGGAATCATTATTTGTTTAGAGTGTAGAAAACAATAAAAATGTTGAAACTGGAAGTTCATGTTACTACCATCACTATGAAAGTAAACCAGGGGTAACGGGCCAAACCATTTTGCAGCTTGAGGCAAAGTATGAGATGACGTCCCCGTCCCCCCCAATAGTTCCATACACAGCTGAGTAGTGTGGCTGCTAAATCATAGCATAGTTGGAAGGGGCCATGATGGCCATCGAGTCCAAACCGCTGCCATTACAGGACACCACATCTCACCATCCCACTAAGATGGCTGTCCAGTTTCCTTCTGAATATCCCCAGTGTGGGAGAGCCCACCACCTCTCTAGGCAGCTGGTTCAAATGTTGGATTGCTCTGACCGTGAGGAAGCTTTTCCTGATATCTAGCCTGTATTTGGGTTGTTCCAGTGTCTGCTGAGAGATACACACCCCTGCAGTAGAAAATGAAGCTTTATATTGCAAGACAGGAAAAGGGTCAGAAGTATTACAGTGTAATTTTATTGCCTCTCAGCCAAAAGGATCCTGTATTTAGGGTTTTCTTCCTTTCTTGCGCAGTGACTGACCTTCTCCAGAAAATGCAATGAAGCGGCTTCCAGAGTCATCCTGAGAATTGAGAGGGAAGGGGGAATATTACTTAGATTATTTTGGCTTTTCATAGATTCTAGCGCGTGCGCACACACACATACACACGGAATGAGAGACAATGCCCTCTCCAAATTCCATTAGTATTTCCAGTTCTGAACTTGCTTGAAATGTGCTAAAATCAAAGTTAGCTAATTCAGTCCTATATCATTATTTCTTGGACTTTTGTCTCAGGATCTTTTTGGTTTCCAAAAAGACAACATTCCAGCTTAGAAAAAACGAGTAAGGGGAGACATGCCAGATGCACCCAAAACTATGCATACCGTGGAAGAGGTGGAGAGAGAGATTTTTCTCTGTTTCATAAAAAAGAACTGAATGAGTATAACTCCTGATGTTGGCTACTAGAACATTCAGGCCAGATTTGTAATTGCTTCTTCCCACAGGGCACAGTTAAAGTATGGAATTCACTTCATAGTAAAAGTTACTGTGACTAATTAGATACCTGTTCCTAACCATTCTTGTTGTTTCTGCTGTGAACTCACGTGTGTCCTTGTGGACCTGCTCACGTGCCAATTCATCAGTGGCTTTGAGCCCCCGGGTGGAGCAGCTGCTAGTGGCTCACATGAAATTCTCCAGTAAATCAAGCTGGACGTTTCCTTACCTCTTCAATTTTTTTGACCAGCGGCCGTGAGTTTCTGATGAATGTGATCTTGCCAATTTTAAACTCATAATTAGGAATCCCTCTGCAGAAAAGAAGAATGAGTTTTATTTAGCACAGGTATCGCCATCATTCCACCACGAGAAGACCCCTGGCCCCCAAAGGCAGATCACAAATTCAAGGAAAAAGGTTAGAAACAAATCCAAAAACAGATTAAGCAACACCCCCCCCCCTTACACACACCCTCTAGTGGGTGGGGGTTACAAGGAAGCAAAGTGAATCACCATGATCCTAGCTCTTCCCTATTAACCCATTAAAATTTAGTAAAGCAGACTACATCGTCTTGCAGTTGTGGCAATAAAACTTGAACATGGATTGGCTGAGCTGGTAAGTAGGCCGAGAAAGTTCAGGGACGCTCTGTCTGCACATGTGATGTTCTACTACAAAAGGAAAGGATGTCCATTTGCTTGGCAGTACATGGAAGGGAGGGATAAGGAGAAAGGCAGCCACCAGGGAGCTTCACGGCTGAGGTGGGATCCGAACGCAGCTCTTCTTTGACCAAGCCAATGCTCTAAGCATGACCGTATTTCCTGGGCTGTTAATCTGCACGCCAGGTGTGGGTGCAACTCAAAGCCAGATGTGGGCGGGGTTTGCAGAACTGCAGGCTTCTTCTGGCCACGTGAGCCTACCCTGTAGGTCCCCATTCCTGCTCTTAATGTTAGAAAACAGGAAAGGGTTGTGGAGAAACGAATACAGGGGAAGATGCTTCAAGGAAGCCACCAGCTGGAGGTCAAGGGGGAAAGGATGGAGCTGAGGGAAGGGGGTGTGGCTGCCTGGGAACCCCAGCTCCAGCCCACAGGCCTAGGGCTCCCCACCCCTGTGGAAAGCCATGGATTATATCCAAGCTGGCCTCACGGCTGACTGACAAAGCAACTATTTCTGGAGTTAGCAGCTGCAGAGTATCTTTCTCCCATAGCCCAGCCATGGCCTCTGCAGAATCAGGATTTCAGATCTCAGATTAAGGAGAGGAATCTTCCCACCTCTGCATTATGGTGGCAGCTCCCACACAGTGTGGTGGAGCAGGTGGTGTGTGTGAAAAAGCTGGCTCTGCGATGATACAACTGAAGGGGATCAAGGCCTGAGGCAGCTGTCCTTTCGGAGCTTCAAACGAGTTCATCTCAGACACGGAACACACGAGGGCAGTAGATGCAGGCAGCAACGAGCCACCTGCATCTCTCTGGCATTGTTTTCGAGGAAAACTGACCTCCGGATGTCTCCTGGTTTAATCGGAGAAGGGCTTGGTTCAACACCTTTCTTCTTCCCATCCAGCCTGTTCCCAGACCCCGAAAATGCCTAAGGGAATAAGAAATGCATGGCCTTCTACATGATCCTCAAGTCATTATTCCTGCAAAGCTATCACCTCAACTTAGATTCCCAGACTCCAATTTTCTGTAACACCTTTACCGGGCGAACAAAAAGATCTCCAGAAAAACTGGGCAAGCTGTCGAGATCCACAGAGCTCTTCATCATGGGCGATGTCTCGAAAAGCAAGTGCGGGGCAGGGGAAGGGGGCACTAGATGATGGCGAGTCCCAAGGTGCACTTTGGCAGGAGAGTCTAGAAGTCAACTAGAAGTTACAGGAGGGTCCTGCTGCCCCTGGTTATGCTGGGAAGGCGGCAAAGGGGAATAGAAAGTCCAGTGACTCTCAGAAGAGTCAATCAAGAATGCAGTCTAGAGGCCACTGAATGGTGGGTGCTGCCTGTTTTTACATACAATCAGCTAAGTGAAAATAACTTACACGGAATCCCAGGTCGCTCGCATAGCCGCTGTGGTCCGGCTCAACATCCTGGGCAGCAACAAGAGAAGGAAGTTAATTCCTTTCCCACTCAGGGATCCACCATGCAATGTAACAGATGTGTCCCCGGTGTGGAACTTCCAATGAAGTGAAGAAATCCCCAACATCGTACCTACAGGCACTCCCGACATTTTATGTTTCTGCTTTCTTAACGTACATACATGGAACTGTAAATATGCATAGCCATGAACACAAAGTCAAAATAAGCCACTTTCTAGAAATTATATGCGGGCTTCAACAAGAGCAGACTAAGCAGCCAAGAAGCAAGCCTTCAAAAGTGGCACTTATATACCAGCTGTTCAAATACTGAAAATGTCAATAGGTTTTCACAATCTATTGCATTATAGGAGTGGGGTGTTTATCCTTCCAATGCTTCAATATGAGTATTTTAGCTGTCAAAAGGGAGTGGAGAATACGTTTACACTGAGCATTTGTTAATTTCTATGGAACAGATAAAGACTGCAAATCAGGGTCTACAGTGAATACTAAACTCCCCAGAGAGGTCCGCCTGGCACCGTTTTTATTTGTTTTTCGGTGCCAGGTGAAGACCTTTTTATTTAAACGTCATTTTAATTGTTAACAATATTTACTTATTTATCTGGCCAGTGCGTCTTCTTTTCCTTTCTTTTCTTTTATAACTTCTTTATATCGTTTATATTTCTTATTTATTTTATATTATTAATTTTAATTTTATATTGTTATTTTTGTATTGTATCGTATTTTATTGTGTTGTAAGCCGCCCCGAGGCTTCGGCAAGGGGCGGCATAGAAATGTTCTGATGATGATGATGATGATGATGATGATGATGATGATAATCTCTGTTCCAGTACAAGATTTATCTGTGTAACAATCTCCTCCCCAGAAGGAGCAACTACTATTCTGTGTGCTGGTCACGTGTTCCTTGCAGGAAACAGGCCAGCTATAAACACAGTAAAGAACGATGAATCATCGCACATACTAATCTGTGCTTCTTTCCAAGGTTTTTGGAGGGTGGCAGGAAAGATGCAGAGAGAGGAGAACATAGAAAAAGGGGCCACTCACCGTGGACTCCTCATGCTGCGTCTGCCTCTCTGGTTCTTTGTAACCCAACGGGGCATCAAAATCCACCTGTCTCGGGTCAAGACAACACTTATAATTAGTAAGTGGCAACAGCCTGCCTAAGAGGCCGAGTCATTTCCCCTTATTGAACAGGCACCGTGAACAGAGCAGCCATATCCAACGGCTTCCAACCCAAGGACCACATTCAATGTTGAAGAAGCTCCCAAGTTCCAGCACTTGGGCAGAGCCAAAGGCAAAAGGGCCGGGCCAAGCGACCCACGATGCCAAACGCTCTGCAGTCAAAGCTCTGCCCGCCACTAGCTGAAACGAAGAAGCACTTCAGCCTCTTTGTGGGGAAAAATGCATTGAAGAAAATGGTTGCTAGTTGGGAGAAAGAGGGTGGCCACAGAAGGGGGTGTAACCAATGGGGAATTACTGGAGGCCAGGCTAGGATGCTAGGAGGATCCGATAGGGACTGCGGGATTGGACTTCAACAGCTTTGGCATAGGGGAATCGGGGGATTCTCAATGCATCCATTTGTGGAAGAGGAATGGCAGCAGCTTTCAAGAAGTATTTTCGGATGGTCAAAACGCCACACACCTATCTTGCCGCCTTCCTCCTCATGAAGGAGGCCAGCATGGTTATTCCCACACTACAAATCATAGGCAGGAGACTGCACAAAATCCAGAAATCACCAAACAATCAGGGATCAGGCGGAAAAGGTGCACGGTCCTCTTGGGAATCCACTGCAAAGCAAGACTGCAACGCCCGCCAGCTTGGATTTGGGCCCTGCCTCCAGCCGTCAACACCCCTGGTGTACAGACAGTCCTTCGGCCATTACTTCAAGGGCTACTGAAAGGAAACACCTTCCCCCAGGTAGCAGAGTTTGAGCACACCACAAGACATGGGGCCCATCCTCAGCTTACGTTCATGTCACACTCTATGATGGACACGGCTTTGTCAGGTTTGGTCTCCATCACTCGAAGCTCATAGATCTAAGTAAAACAAAGAAAATGCCATTGACATCATTGTCTCTGCAGAAATGTTGGCAACAATGATGCCCTAGAACTCATGCAATTGTCTGCCCTGCCAGTCCTTTGCTTAAACCCAACACAAGAACCCGAGATCAACTTAAATGGGGCACAGTCCTGATCGCAATATTAATGGTATCATTCTAAATCTCCTGCTTGGCTTCACGGCAAATGGAAGCAGATCCGAAGTCAGCCCATAACGATCTCTTATTCTTTGCTTCTGGGATGCCCAAGCTGAAGTGATGCACATTACCTTCTCATTGTAGTTGATGGCAATAACATCTCCAGTGGTCAGGCAAGCAAAATTTCTGAGTGCGTTTTCCAACCTTCACAGGATGTTAAGGGAAAATATAAGTTCATATTGTGCAGAAGGGGTTCCCATCGCATCTGGGTCACTAATTGGTTTTAACTCCCACTTCAGGTCTTGGAATCTGATGGCTGGTGCCAGGAAGGGTGGGTATAGGATTGCTCTCTTAAATTTCAGATGGCAGAGTTTTTTTCCAGATATATTTGGCCTTACCCCCAACCTTCACCTTTGGCTCTGCCCCCTTTGCCTTCATCCCGCAGAATGCAACCCTTAACAGCCTCTCCAGTCGGCCCTCTGCCTGAAAGAGGTTCCCAGCTCTGTTTAAAAGCATGAACAACCTGGGGAGAGGCAAATCTGTGTCTCTGCCCATGATGGGATCAGCAGCTAAGCACCACAACCCCAAACCCCTCCCCACGTGCTCCCGTGGGGCTATTCTGAAATGGATACACGGCCTTGGGGTTAGTGATGTCAAGAAAGTCGGGGCTCTGCGGCTGGAATTTGGAGTACGTGGCCACCTGAAGGTTGACGCTCTCCACCTGCACCAGCCCACCTTCCTCCAAGAGCAGGTTCTGCATCATCTGCATGGATACAGAATGAGTGATCAAGCACTCCCTTTGAAAGACGCAGAAAATCAACACATGATGTTAATCCTAAGTGTTACTTTAATTACTATAAAATTTACCTAGTGCATTAAAATTACTTCAAATCTCAGTGCTTGAAATACAAACTATTCGATCAAATTTAGACCTAGGTATTGACAAATTAGTACATTCAACATATTTACTCCAACAAGGAGGTGCTTCTTGCACTATCAATGCAATCAGTCTTACATAAAAATAAGATGGAGACCCTTGATGGGAGTGCAAATGTTTAGCACTAAATATTCTTCAAAATTACTGCGCTGTTCCCTCTCTCTCTCTCTGTTTTTTCTGCTTTTTCTTTCAAAAGTTTCCCATGTTCAAAGAGTCCTTGCCACAGCTTGACTTGGACACTTGCAGTTTAAAAGCTCTGAAGCAGCTACTTACCCAGTGTGGCAGGTAACAGATGCCTTCATCAGCCACGAACTCAAGCACGCCACAGTGGGTCATACGGTCTGAATTTTTATTGGTCAGCTTAAATAACATGGGATAGGTGATGTTAAGCCGGCCTAGTGAGAAGGGTGGGGGGAAATGTCGTGTTAGCAAACAGAAGAACCTTGCAGCTTGCAGGAAGGGATCTTGCCGAGAAACCCTTTGCTTGCCTGCAAGTGCCTCCACCAGGTTCGGTGAGACTCATTCCCACGGAAGTAAAACGCCAAATAAACCTCCACAAGACCAGGCTGAATGTAAGATAAAACCGTAGCCTCAAAGAACTTCTAAGCTGGGGGTGATACACTTAAGGCAACCCATTCTAGCCTGAGGTCCTCCAGATGTTTTGGACTTCAAGTCCCATCAGCCCCAGCCAACATGGCCCACATACAGGGAAGATGCTTGTTGCATCCCCACACTATCTAGAAAGCCACGGTCTCCCCACTCCTGGCTCATACATATTTCTAATCTGGGCCCAGGCCTAGTGATTCCGGCCTTGACTCTGAACCATCAAGCTTCTGGCATTGGGTCTGCTCACAATTTCCAGTATGGGATGTTCAGAGAAAATAAGTGCAGCATTCCCAGAGCAGAACTTGCACATGCAACACCAAGTCTACATTCAGGGGGTGCAATTCCACGCCTGCTCAGGCAGAAAAAGTTCCACATTCGCTGAGGAACGGTGGGATTAGGAGGATGTTCTAAGCAGGCATAGCTTCGCTTTTTTCCATCTTCAATGCGCTTTGATGCATGAGCTAAGAGAGTATCTCTTCCAGTGCTGCACACAAGCTTCCTCAACCTAGTACCCTTCCGATGTTTGGGACAACAAACTCCATGAACGCGAGCACTGCCCACGGTCAGGAATGAAGGGCGGATGTGGTTCAAAGCACTTGGTGGACAGAAGGCTGGGGAAGTCTGTTACATATCATAAATATACTGAGGAGAAGTTACTCACTGAGTTGATCCAATGCAGAGGGAGGCATAATTACTGCAGGAAAAAACCAAAGAATGCGATAATAAAATTAGTTACAAAGGAAAGCAACATGGGAAATTTCAGGCATCCACTTCCAGTAATTTTCTCAGAAAAAGAAAACTTAGGACATAACTACAGCCGTCATCAAAAACATTTAAGCCTGGACCTAGTCCCTCTGCACAGTAACCTGGAGTGAAATTGCATTACACCAGAGCATTTCCCTGCAACCTCCTCCTCGCCTCAGAGTGATGGGGACCAGTGATGGGGGAGGCCACAGAGCAAGGAAAGGTGAAGAGGTATACCATACAATATGAAAGGAAGAGGCAGGAGGGAAGGTTCTAGCCAGAAAACCAAGCAATCGCCCCACAGATCTAAAGCATGTTCAACCCTGGCTGGATCCCCAAATTGTGCCATCCCATGGGATGAATCAGGTGTTACCAGAAATGTTCCTCCAGGATTCCAGCTTTGTGGTCTCATACTCTTCCAGGTACAATCTGTTCTATGAGCAGCACATGCATAAGCCTTTGAGAGAAAGATCAATGCTAAAGAAAAACCAACACGTACTCTTTCCGCCTTTCTCCACATCAGACCTGTCATTCGGCCCAGCAAGCATGGAGACCGAGAAGCAGCGGTACTGAGTTGAGAAGCGATTCTGAAAGACCCGGGGAATGGGATGATCGAACATGTTGAAGGAAAACTGTGGGGGTGGGGGGAGAAAGAACATGGAAAGGCATTATTGCTCTCAAGCTCCACTTGTAGGGTTCCTGGATACAACTGGACAGCCACTGTGCGAAAAACTGGTTAACCTGGATCAGACTTTGGTCCAATTCAGCATGGTCCTTTTCAGAAGAGGCAGGTGATCCACAGAAAAGATGCAGAAGACTAAACTGGGCACAACATTGGGAAAGCACATTTTTCTTATAAAGTTCAATATAGACCACACAATGCACACGCAACAATTTTAACTGGGACTACAGTACTGGGGGATGATGGGAGATCTCCTGAGAGTCGACCCTGTGGGGGCTGGGGGGGGGGGTCTCCTGCTTGCTGTGGACAGGCAGGAGGGCTGGCTGTGCTCCACCAACTCTTCATGTCACACCGATCCTGGCATGTTGTTCTTTTGTTGACATGTTTGTTGCTTGGTTTCCAGTTGTTTTGGAGGATGATGGATTTAACCTACACAGCATCATCAATCCTCAAATAAAACCCAAATTAAAACAACAATTAAGACTTAAAATGTTGGGAAAATAAAAAGGTTTTGGCCTGGCGCCGAAAGGAATCAAGTGCCAGTGCGAGGCACACCTCTCTGGGGAGCAAATCTCATAATCGGGGTGCCACCGCAGCGAAGGCCCTTCTCCGGGTAGCCACTCCTCTGATCTCCTTCAAAGAGAGCTCCCAAAGAAGGATTTATTCATCGGATTTATATCCCACCTGTCTTCCTTTCACGGAACTCAGGCTGGCTTACGCCGCTCTCCTCCTCTCCATCCCACCCGCACAGCAACAACCCTGCGCGGTAGGCCGGGCTGAGAGCCTGTGACTGGCCCACGTCACCCGGTGGGCTCCGTGGCCCAGCGGGCAGCAGCACCCGATCGCCGGGCCCCAGCCCCGCGCTCCTACCCGCCGCGCCACCCCGGCTCTCCTTCGCACCATTCCCCCAGCCGGCATGACGCCGCACTTCCCCTCGCAGGATGAGCCCCTCCGCCCCTCCAACGGGCGCCGGGCCCTACCATGGCGGCGGCTTCGGCCTCTCCGTGCCCCCGCAGCTCTCGCAGGACTCGCCGCAGGACGAAGGCAGGGGCCGATCCTTCTTCCCGAGGGGCCCCGGCGACCCGGACGCCCGGCTTTTAATCCCGAACAGGAAGCCTCGCCTCGCCTCGCCGCCCCGGAGGGAAGCGGAGCGCGGCGGCGGAGAAGCCTTCTCCGGCTTCGCTCCGACCCCTCGCGGGGAAGAGCGGGGTCCGCGGGGCCAAGAGTCGAAGCCTGCAGCTTCTCGGGCGACGTTCTGCGCTGGAAAATGTTAAAAAACGCGATTTTAGGTGGTGGTTGGGGGAGAACTACATTTCCCGAAATGCAATTCGAACGACGGGTGCGTATAGGATATCCTTTTGTGTGAGTGCGAGAGAGCGGGAAAAAGAGGCGACAGAAACGGGACAGTTTCTCAGAGTGTTCGTGGTGCACCTCTTAGTGTTTCCCCCCGTAAAGACTGAATAAAAGCTTGTTCTGTCAGCCCTCCGAAGGGCGGGGAAAGGTTACAGGAAGGTATTGCCCCAAACAAATATGGCGCCCAAGACGTCACCTGTATAGCCAAAGCGCTGCCTTTCTGTTTGGCTGGGCTAAACAAACAAAAGGGTGCCTTGGGAGGCGGAAGTCGCGCTCGAGCCCTATGACGATATGGCTCCTCCTGCTCCTCCCTTAATTGGATTATCCAGTCGCCCTTCTACGAAGAAAGACGCTAGCGGATGACGCACATTGTTTGTTGCGATTGGTGCAGACGTGAGGGAGGAGGAGGAGCAAGAGACGCCCAATCAGAAGGCCAGAGAGCGGCAAGGGGAAGGGAAGCGCAACCGTATTGGGTGCCGTTCATAGCGGACGGCCAATGGGGGAAGGCGAGGGTTTGGCGCCTTCCTTTGAGCGGACGGGGCGCTGCGACCGTCGCCTCAGTCCGCCGTCGACCGTGGCAGCGGGAGCTTCGCGCCTCGGCCATGTTCCTGACCGACTTCCGCAAGGAGTTCTACGAGGTGGTCGTGAACCAGGTGAGTGGGCGCCCGCCGGGGAAGGTGGCGAGGGCGGCCGCCCGCGCGGGGGCGCCCCGCCTCTGCCTCCTCTGCGGCCCCGTAATTGTGGCCCGGCTAAGGTCATTGGACTGGGCCGCGGAGATCCAAGCTGGGGGCTGGATTCAGGGGTTGGTTTTCATGCAGAGGCAGGGTGGCGTAGTGGGTAGAGCGTTGAGCTGGGACTCGGGAGACCAAAGCTTGATCCCCCTTGGCCGTGAAGATCACTGTGGGGGGTAGCTTTGAGCCTGGCCTTGGCTCTCAGCCTAACATACCTCATCGGGTTGTTGTGAGGATAAAACAGAAAGGAGGGCTGTGTGAGCTGCGCTGGGTTCCTTTCAGGGAAAAGGCAGGATATAAGTATGTTAAATAAGACGTGCTGAGTTTCTGCTGAAATGTGGGTTATTGCACTGTCTGAACCAGCCATGCTAACACATTATGGTTTCTTGATCTCAAACAATGCACAGTTCACAACCCAAGAATGGGCCATGTGCCCTATACGTAGGTTGATCATGGTTAACTAACCACGGTTTGTGAGTTTCAGCAAGGATCTGTGGTTCAGTAACTGCCCATAGCCATCCTCTCGGTGTGGGTTACTGTATTAAGTAAACCCAGACCAGACACTAAACAAGAGTCTCCACTGTCTGCATGATGGCTAGAGTTGATGGGAGCTGGAGGCTAACACTATGTTCGTGGCTAAGGTTACACTTAGCTGCCTTAGTTTTTCCATTTTCTGTAGCCAGAATTCTGACAGGTTTGGTAACTGCGGATCATCACTGTGCAATGTTATTGTTATAAATAGTTTTTCAAATGTTTCCTTTTTTCCTTACTTCTAGCGGGTGCTGCTTCTTGTTGCTTCAGATGTCGATGCGCTGTGTGCTTGTAAAATACTCCAAGTAAGTTTCCTTTTGATGTCCTGTTAATATTGTTGTTGTTGTTAGTCACGAAGTTGTGTCCGACCCATCGCGACCCCATGGACGACATGCCTCCAGGCCTTCCTGTCCTCCACCATCTTCCAGAGTCCACTCAAGCTCACACCAACTGCTTCAGTGACTCCATCCAGCCACCTCATCCTCTGCCATCCCCTTCTTATTTTGCCCTCAATCGTTCCCAGCATTAGGCTCTTCTCCAGGGAGTCCTTCCTTCTCATTAGGTGGCCAAAGTATTTGAGTTTTATCTTCAGTATCTGACCTTCTAAAGAGCAGTCAGGGTCGATCTCTAGGACTGACTGGTTTGATCGCCTTGCAGTCCAAGGGACTCGCAGGAGTCTCCGCCAGCAGCACAATTCAAAGGCCTCAATCCTTTGGTGCTCAGCCTTCCTTATGGTCCAGTTTTCACAGCCATACGTTGCAACTGGGAAAACTATAGCCTTGAGTATACGCACTTTTTTTGGCAGGGTGATGTCTCTGCTTTTTAGTATGCTGTCTAGATTTGCCATAGCTTTCCTCCTGGGGAGGAAAGCTATGGC